TGGCTGACCACTTTGGCAAAAAATTCCTAAGAAACTACAATGGACAGTGTATGTACCGTAGACAATGTTTTGAAAGACATGTTTCTCTTCTATATATTTTCTATATACACCTGACAAATTTTTACCCCTTTTTCTTATTCAGGAAACTCACCTGGGTACAATTAGGGTGGAGGGGTGGAAAATGTTCATCATAGAGGCTGCCCGCACTGGTCTCCAGGGACAACACCGTCCCTACCACCATCCATAGAAACACTACAACCAGACGCATCTGCGAACACCATGATGATTGTTATTAAATGTATTATTACAGAAACGGTGTCTGAGACGGACGGCGAGGAACAAGTAAATATATATATACCTTTTGGGGAAGCGGCGAGCTAGTCCTGCAACAAGTAAGCAAGGTGGACCCACGCAGACTAAAATCGCCGCGACGCCCCCAGCGTTTATAACAGTGGCGTCATCCTTTCTGCGGACTGGGAACTTCTTGAATTCTAAAGAGACTATTCACCGGCTCTATGAAAGGTCTGTTTGTGCATAACATCTGTTTATTAACAGAAAGACACAGCGACGCGCGCACACACACACACACACACACACACACACACACACACATGCACACACACACACACACACACACATATATATATTGTGTGTGTGTGTGTGTGTGTGTGTGTGTGTATGTATATGCATATAAGTATATGTATAATTTATATATGCATATAATTATATATATATATATATATATATATATATATATATATATATATATATATATATGCGTGTTTGTGTGTATGTGTGTATGTATGTGTGTGTGCGTATGTGTGCATATTCGCATATATATATATATATATATATATATATATATATATATATATATATATGTATGCATATTATATATAGACATATAGATAGATAGATATGTGTGTGTGTGTGTGTGTGATTGCATATATACATGTATGTATGTATATACGTATATACATATTTATATACATACATATACATATAAATATGTATATATGTGTATATATACACATACACATATATGTATATATACATATATATGTATATATGTATATATATGTAAATATGTGTATATATACATATATATATATGTTTATATATACATATATATATATTACACACACATATATACAAATATGTATACATGTATATACGTACAGACGTATATATATATATATATATATATATATATATATATATATATATATATATATATATGTTTATTTGTATATATGTGTGTGTATATATAGGTAGACAGATATACATACATATATATGTATATGAATATATATATGTATATCAAATAAAGTATATTAATGAACTCAACGACTATTGACCATTTTGAAAGCAAATGATGAAAGAGGCAAAGAAGAGACACATACGTCGATGCACTGAGAGTAAAGAAAACAGTGAAAAACAAACAAACTCAAGAACACAAAAAATTAAGTCCCAGGCTGCAGAGTCGGCAAAAGAAATCAATTCAAGTCATAACTTAGCCAACGTACGAGGAACATGGATGATGTAAACGAGGACATAGTTATACTAGAGCACGAAGATAAAGTCTTAAAGGCGGAATCGAACGCTTATTGGAAACAGAGAGATTGATTGTCACTTAATTCGTGGAGCAGAATATCATAGCTCATATGAGGCTGAGATTATTCGAAAAGGGAAAGAACCGCCCTTCAGAAGTGATATTCATAAACAAACAAATAGTAGCTAATGTCATGCAGAACGCTAAAGTTCTGGCCACTTTATACATCGGTGTGACCAGAAGAATATTACCAAAAACTAATTTTGAAAAACTAAAGGAAAAAGTGCTACAACTTTCGGAAACCAATTTCAAAGAAATTCTTGCAACTGGGGAATTTACAAGCAGAATTACTGGCAATCATAAATGAGTATTGGCTTTAATAATATGTAACAGATCAGGGCGAAAAGGCTAGAGAGTACGTCTACGCTCGACGTATAAATACGAAATAAAGGATACGAGTAATGTCTTTTTTTCAGGAAACTGTAGACATTAAGCTAAAACCTGCCTACCACAGGCAAAAAAAAAAAAAAAAAAAAAGAAAAAAAAAAAAAAGAAATCATCGTATGTAAGGAAAGAAAGGGGAAACACAACTACAAGAGAGGTAGTTATAGAAAGCTGTCCCTCTATGATATAACCTTGCAGGCTCATAAATATCAAATAAAAGGTTGCATATCTTGAATTATTGATATAATTCAGTCAATATGGAAATACCCAGTTGCCTAATTTCAACACAACTCGCGGTGGATACGATAAGATGCAACATTTTATGCAACACCCACTTTTCATGTGAAGTGCAACGTATGTAATAAGATTTTTTTTTTCTTTACTTAATCTGATTAATACGTTTTCCACAGCTTTGCAAAGCGAAGACTGGTTTGTGTAAACACTATAAGCTGCAGGTACTTTTTCCATTTCATTTGAAGCTTCCACAATGTTTTGCTCGTAATTAGAAATCCTACCAGCATATTATGTACTTTAAGGTTTTCTATTGATGTTTATGGATAATAAAGAATAACTACTTTCTTCAAGCAAAGTATCAAAGTGTTAGGGATTTTGGGAGGCTACAAAAGGCCTAAAACACAATAACATTCGGAAATGGAAACTCAGCATCATTGGCATTTCTGCAAAACAAGCTTTATTCGTACACAAGAAATAATAGGACATCAATGAGTTCTTATATTATTTGATTTACTATTAGATTAAAACATTTCGATATACCAAACAGGAATAAGAAAACCGAAAAAAAAATCATAATAAAAAAAACTGTTCCAACTGTACAAATATTTGTTTCAGTACACACGCACATACACACACACACGTACACATACATACATATAGATACAGGCATAGATCTATATCTATGCCTGTATCTATCTTCCCACAGAAACAGTTTACGGTGTTACGGAACATCGTCGATTAAGAATCTATCAGCGTTATATAAGGCGGCACAATTTTCTCCTGTGCCGCCAGATGGCTCCCGATCGCTGTTGAAAATAAGTAAAACGAAGAGAGAAATGCATAAGCAAATAATAACAGTAAAAACAATGACGATACTAAGATATGTAACAGATAATTTGATTTAAAAACACATAACAAAGTTCCTATCTGTATGGACGTGGTATGTTTGGACGCTCGTAAGAATAACTTGTGTGTTTGTTCGTGTATATGGTGAGTGTGAGTATGGAAATACTACTACGTCATTAGTAATTTAAACTCGAATACGCCATTTACAATGCAAGATAAGAATGACCAATCATAATCTCCCCAATAGGGGGTTCCACTTGGGTGAGTTCACCGAGGATCCATCGCCAGTCCCCTTCCAGTAGAAGGTCGCTTCTTCCCGGCCGCTCATTTGCAGATGTCGAAAGTCCTGAAATAATCAGTACTGACTAGCACAGGACTGCCTAGAGTGGTCGATATCGACCCCTGAGGTCGACAGAACTATTCGCCTTAGAATCAAAAAGAGCTCGACAAACGTTGGGGCCGTTCGTAGTTTTGGGGTCGAAAGCTGACATTAGTATAAGAAATAAACATATATGAAATAATTTGCTTTTTGATTCTCTATTTATATGTTTATAGTTTGTCTCCCTATATTTCATATTCACGGTGGCGGGGGCACGGGAAAAACAGTTTAGCACGACTTTGCATGCAGTTTCCCTGCAAAAGATCATTTATACGTAAACACACATTCTTAAACACGTATCTATGCTCTGTATACATACACATGGGATACAGTTAGCATGAAGTAGAGGAAAATGTTGATCGTAAAGCCTGGCCACACTACCCACCTCCAGCGCCCACACCGCCCAAAGAAATGCAGTTGATATATGTTCGACCCTTCTTTATAACAAGGCCTTACATGTGGGGGCATAACGAGATGTCATGACACGGACTGCTGATTCAGTAGCGAAACGAACTCAAATTCGTTTGCGCTATTGAACTCGGTGATTATGGAAAAGCAGCAACCCACCCCGTGCCGCTAGCCCGTTCTTGAAGCGCTTATTTCGCAGAGAGGAATGACTTTCCAGTCACAGGGAGCATCGTGCATCAAGAAGTCATCAGCACCATGAAGGAAGGCACAGTTTTCGGCTGTATTTTGAACTGGTTCACGAACGCTGTTGAAAAAAAGGAATATCAGCAAGTAATGTCGGAATTTCTACTTTCGTGTCTATGCTTTATATTGCATGTGTGCACATGCGTATATATGTATAGATAGGTATGCATATATATATATATGCTTGTGTGCGTCTGTATGTGTGTGTGTTTGTACATATGTATAGAAGTATATAATATATATATACACACACATATATATATATAAATATATATATATATATATATATATGTATACATATATATACATATATATACACATATATATATATATATATGCGTGTGCGTATGTATTAGTGTGAATACATTATCTACAGTTCGAGCTGAGAATGACTTACTAATTATAATCTCCCCAAAAGGGCGTTCCTCTCGGCATGTGTTCCCCGGTCACCCATCTCCACTCCCCCTCTACCGAATGGTCGTTTCCGCCCACCCACACATTCCCTGTTTTTGCAATGCCTGGGAGTGGAAACAGTACTGTCATCGTCACTTTTGTTGAATCTTGATGTAGCAGATGTATAAGCATCTTTCTATTAATATGACTTTCGATAAACAAATGAATGAACGGAGTGCCAGGAAGGAAGGTAGAAAGTGACTTGCCTGAAGTTTTAACGTATCCAAGAGCATGTGCGAATGCATTGGCGTCACGGAACACGGCCAAATTTCCTCCCAGGTCTTGACAGAAGAGCAGAGCTTCTTCCCAATTTATTCCGACGTCCTTAGCAAGATACAGACAATTTTCTCCGTAGTTTTTGAAGTTGCCTGGACAGGATATTCCTGTACATGGTAATACGTTAGTACCGCACCCCACCAATAGTAAATTCACACAGGATTT